TGTGTGTGTGTGTGTGTGTGTTTTCTCCCCCTCACACACCCCTCTCACTCCCGCCCGGCCTGCACGCTCGGGGCTCCTGACGTTCCCCCCTCCCATACCCACGTACGCATGAACGCCCCCCCCTCAGCCCCGCCCTCCATAGCCCCTTGCTCGGGTCCAGCGGCACCCGGTGGCCCGCGTGCAGCGGGCACGTGCGAGGGGGGCGATGGCGCGGTTGTGCGAGACCCCGGGGACGGCCGCCATCCCCGGGAGACTCGCTTATCCCGGCTCGGGTGGCTTCTCGGCTTCCATCCCGGCTCCTATCTCCACGGGCGCGCTTCTGCACCACCCCCCTCCTCCCCTGTGCGGGGTGGCCCGGGCAGCTGGGGACTGTCATCACCCCGAACCCCCCACCTCGCCCCCGGCCCCCTGCTCAGCTGCATTTCCCCGGAGGGCTGCCGGGAGTCCGCGCGTTCATTCCCCACCTCTGAATGCTCGGGGCGCCGGTTGTGGGGTGGCGGGGGGAGCGCGCTAGGATCTCCAAGGCCTGGGATCTCTAAGGGTCAGGCTTGGCTGCTGGTGGACACCCCCCCCCCCACCACACACACACACTCTCGGCCCATCCGAGAGTCCCCGATCGTGTGTGTGTAACGGAGGGGGGGGGCATACCTCGCGCTCCCTGGCTGCCGGAGTCCTTCTCCCGGCTCAGCTCAGTATTAAGGCTGCGCTCTGCTCCGTCGGTGCCGGGCTGGGGGGGGTGGTGGTGGGCGAAAGGGAGGGGGTGCCCGGGTGGGTTCCCCTGATGACTTCCGGGTGCTGGAGGCGCTTAGGGTGGGGGGGGGAGACTCTGAGGCTCAGGCCCAATTCCTTTGGTTACTCTTATCTCCTGCTGGGTAGAGCACCTCCAGGCAGCTCCTTGGGCGAGGTCCTGATGGCCAGAGTGGATGCAGCTTTATTGGGGGAGGGGGTCCCCGCTTGGTCCCTCAGGGAATGCTCTCTTCTTGAGTGAAGCTTCCAGATTTTGAAAAAAAAAATCAATTCAGCTTGGGGTGTAATTGAGTCCCTTCCCACAGTCACGCTCCAATCCGGAATTGAACCTGGTCCTTGGGCCTGGTGGGGACGCGTGGAGGGGATCCCCCTCCCCAAATCCTCCCCAGTGTGGTGGGGCTTACACCCGGCCGCCACATGCCGTGCGCTTTCTTTCATTTACAAAAGAAAGAAAGAAAAAAAATCCGTAACAAAAGGCAGAGCCGTGTCTGCTTAGGTGCTTTCATCCCTCAGAGAAAGGACAGATGTGCCCATTGTCCTGTGCTTGGCAGTTATGGCCGGGTCAACGCCAGAGCCTCAGCCCCGGGCAAGCGGTGCTCACAATAGGAATACACTCTCACAGGCTTGGGTATCTGGGCTCCAGATTCTGGACCAAAGTGTGTGTGGCCTGTGGAGGGGGGGCAAACTCACACTGTAGGTTTGTGTGCTTGAGCACACAATTCTGGCATGAGTATGCTTTCCCATGGAAAGGTTTCCAGATCCTTCGCCAAAGACCAGAGTGGAGTTGGTGGTGAAGCGTGGTGGCTGAGTCTCCTACAGAGATTTGAACTAAGGCAGGAGAAGAAGGCCCAACTCTGCCAGGTCAGATTAGTGTGGACAGCCTGACTGATTTCTGGGACAGGGCGAAGCTCTGGGACTGGCTAATCTAGCTGAGAAACACTCTTGTCCTACCCAAACCATGTGTATTTAGGAACTCTGGGGGAGAAAAAGGCCTTTGGGGTGTGTGTGTGGGGGGGAACATAAAAGAGAAAAAAGTATACCAAAGTACTCAGAAAAACAATTACTCTATTTTAATTTATATATTTACCTCCTCATGTACACACTTCTTGATCAAAAAACATCTTGTTCTTACTTGGCCAATCAGACATTTTTTTCCTCTTCGTGAGGATGAGTGGTGGTTAGTCTCAGATGAAAGGCACTTCTGATGTCTACATAAAACATTTTCTTTTCTGTCTAGTGAATCACCTTGCTGGGAAGCAGAATCTTGGTTTCTTTCCCTTTTCTAATAGTTTAGAGCATTCTCTCTCATAAGAAACCAAACAATGGGTTAAAGTAAGAGCTCAAAGTCTGCTCTGAGCTAAACTGTTCCTCCCCTCCCTATATTTTAATCCCGCCAAAGTGATTGATCTGCCCTTATGACAACTCTCTTCCCAAAAGGCATCGTGTTAAAAGAAAGAAGCAAATACCACCAAGTGCACAAATTGTTCATGGTTTTCTGTTTGTGTAGCTAATTAGGGACTTGATCCTGAAAACCCTCCTTCATGTAACTCTCCCAGCTGAGACCCTGGGGGCTGTCAGAAGAGGGCTAGGATCAGGTAAGCTCAACTTTGTCCCTTCTTTCCCAAGGGTCTTTGTGGGGGGAAATAAAATAGAGGGAGGCTGTTTCAGTTTTGGTCTCTAAAGCAGAAGGACAAGTATGTGTTGGGCTTGCTTAGTTCAATGTTTGACATTCTTTTAAGAAAAACATTAATGGTACAGGAATTGCTTGGGTAGTAAATCTCCCTCATTTTTTTTTTTGACTATTCACATCTCTTATTTAACCATTGTTTTCTGGTGGTTGAGAAGTCACTGTGATTTCTGATACCTGCAGCAGCCATTTTAGAATTAAAACTCATGGTGGAAATCTTTCTTTGATGTCTTACTACAGTACATGAGGGTGAAGATTTGGTTCTGGGTGCTTTCTGACAGGCTTCCTCTCTTCTTCTGGAAGTGTGTGTGTGTGTCTGTGTGTGTGTCTGTGTATGTAACAGAGAGACACTGGATAGGTTGCTATAACAAGACTGAATTTTTAAAAAATCATTTTGCCCTCTTTCCCCTCCCAGGCCCCAGTAAAAGTCCTGGTGTTCATTAGATGAACTATGGGAGAAGGAGGGACTAAGCGTCCAAGGAAGAGTTCCTTGACACTTGGTAGATCAGTGTGTTTGTGTGGCTGAGAGGATGGCTGTTTAGTTCTGAGCAGCTATGTGAAATTTAAAGAAAAAGAATAGTATCAACCAACAGTAGACAATGATATATGAGTATATATGTAAAAAGGGCCAAATAAGACCACTGACTGGGTGCTTGATGCTAGCAATATTTTCAGCACAGGAAGAAGGATTCCAGGTATTTATTTTGTAAATGTCAAGAGAACAGCTTTGTGTGTATGTGTGTGTGCATGCCCATGCGCACGGGCACAGGATTAGACTAGATAGACTAAAACCTGCCAACAGCCCTTCCAGAAAAAGAGTAGAAAGTTCCTCAAACACTGGCCACACAAGGTTCTCTGGGAAATTTCCATAGGATTCAGAGTTAACACTTTAGTTCTCTGTGAGTGGGAGAGATGTAACACATGGCCCAGTCTCAGTATTGAGGATCATTCCAAAGAAATGTTTCTAGTTCTTCTGAACCATCAAATGTTCATCGGTTGAACATTCCCATTTGTTGGCCTCACAAACAGCATTCCTGAATGTTAGGACAAATATCCCCACCCAAGGCTTCAAGGCAGAGGCTGACTCTTTAGGTAGAATGTCTCAATGGACCTCACCATCATTTTTTTTTGTGGGTCCTGGGGCTTGAACTCTCGGCCTGGGCATTGTCCCTCAGCTCTTCAGCTCAAGGCTAGCTCTTTACCACTTGAGCCACAGTGCCACTTCTGGTTTTCTGAGTGTTATACTGGAGATGAGAGTCTCATGGACTTTCCAGCCCAAGTTGACTTTGAACCATGAGTAGCTAGGATTACAGGTGTGAGCTACTGTTGCCTGGGCTACCATCATTTTTAAAGCCTGTATCCAGTCTGGTATTAAACTGGAGAGGAGCTGTTTCTTCCGTGTCTGACTGCATCAGAGCATTTAGTACCTGGAAGGTGAAGGATTTGGTTCTGGATGCTTCGAACCAGGCTCTCTGGAGTCTTCTCAACATTTGGGGAAATTATAGTCAGAAAACTGCTGTTGAGTTAAAATAGCAATCTCTTCTAATTGCTGAGGATTCACTATTGAAAAACATTTTTGAAAAACACTCAATAACTAATCACTAAATATGGTAGAGACCTTGCTAGGATATGGGCCCTGGGTTTAATCCCAGAAACATTAGCACTAATAAAATCAAATGAGGCTGGGCACTGGTGGTTCATGCCTGTAATCCTAGCTACTCGGGAAGCTGAGATCTGAGGATCACTGTTCAAACCAGCCAGGGTAGGAAAGTCAGAGACTCTTACCTTCAAATAAGCACCAAAAACTCAGAAGCGGAGTTGTGGCTCAAGTAGTAGAGCTCTACCCTTGAGCATAAAAGCGGAGGCTTTGAGTGCAACAAGCCTCAGGATCACACACACACACACACACACACACACACACACACACACACACACACACATTCAGGGACTTCATTCTCTGGGGGTTAAGGAAATGGTAAACAATCATTCTGGCTCTTCTTCAATCTTTGATCTTCCATTTAACACATAGTGTTTTCTTTTTTTGAAAATTTGGGTGCTTCTTTAAGTTTCCTCCCCACACTTAAAAAATTTCCTTCTTAAAGACTGGTTTTGCTGGAGAGAAAATACTTTAAAACTCTGCAGTTTGCACTGTTCTTTGTCTCTCTTTCATGCCTCCAAACCCCAAAGAGAAGAGACTTGCAGAAGAGTGATTAGCCTCTGCCAGCAGCCCCCTCCCCTTCCACCCCCAAAGAACTCTGAGTTCCAGGAACTGTATACAGAGTCGCCTGGGTGGCCATCAGAGAAAACCAGACTACTACTCCTGCGTCTCTGGTTACTTCCTGGGCAGAGGAAGAAAACCACTAGCCCTCTTGGGACCCTGGGTGAACTAGAGGCCGGCTTCTACTGGGTTGAAATCTGTTCTAGCGGTCACCCACTTTGGCAAGGGTTTTTTTCAAGCCTTCAAGCAAGATCACTAAAGGGATATCCTGAAGCGTTCCAAGTTGCTGGTGACTCTGGCAGAAGGGCCTGGGTACTGGATTCAGTCAGCCCAGCTGGATATGTGTGTGTGTGGGGGGGTGTTGGAAGTTGGTGTGTGTGTGGGAGACTTGGCTCTTTAATTGGGTCTCAGGCTTGATCATTAATTTTACATCGTTGAAATAATTACATAGGGAACTGAGGGACAATGAATTTCCCTTTTTCTACGTC